TATAGATCAGACTGTAAAGAAAAAGGTGATTAAGAATATAAATAGTAAAATGTACATGCAACACAGTGGATGCACACACATCAGGGCAGACTTTACACAGTGAGTGCTCTCACTAGCTAAAACCTGTTTAGCATCATAGAGGCATGGGCTGAAATTATGGGGCACAGCTGATCCACTGATGATGTTAATGACATCTGTCTTGTAAGAGCAGGATTTGAGCTGGATCTGAACTCATGCAGCACCAGCTCCTGATTATGAGAGTTAACTGCACTTACTTATGCAGGAGATGGACAATTAAAACATTTCAGATCGGATAAGCCGCTCTTGATTTGCTCTGCCATCACGCTCTCCACTTGAGGATGAAGTTGAGGAGGAAATGCCGTTTCCACTCAGATTCATTTCACAAAAGTCTTCTTGTCCTTCCTCACACGAGAGTAAGACACGCTGAAGCTACATTATGCAGCTAGGATGATATGCTGATTGGCTTTCTTGTCGGGCGTTAGGTGAGAAGGTTATTATCTGTTTCAATATCTGTGCAATCAAAAGCTCGGTCCAGAAAGGGTTTAGCCTAGCTTAGCTTAGCTTAGCTTAGCTTAGCTTGAAGCAGTGAGAACCAGCTGCCAGAAAAATACACCTTTCAACAGCTCCGGTGTCTTGTTCACATATTGTAGTGTTTTTTATAAAGTTTGTAAAGGTAGGAACTTCACAATGAGGACAGGTCCTCTGAGATGCTGCATGCTGTCACCAGGCCCAGCGCTTGCTGGTCAATAAATAGCTCCAGTGCTGAGCTACCTGCCTGAAAACCCTGGTGTCTCATTGTCTGTTGCTACACTTGTTAAACAAGCTCAACAAGTAAGAAATAACAAGTATAAACTTTGTTACAAGGCACATTTGACAGAGCGAGGCTGGCTGTTTCCTGCTGTCTCTGGTCTTGGTGTTAATCTAAACTAAGCAAGTCGTCATATTCTCTTCTCTACTGGAGGGATGAGCACCAGGATATTCCCTCATTTGATGTTTGGATGATGGTGGAGAGCTCTGTCTAACATGTCGCTGCAAAATCTCCCATAGGTGGCCAGCTGGGTTGAGATCTGGTGACTATTATCACGGTATTGTCATCCTGTCTTTCCACTTATTTATTCAGGTTTTTCCTTTAAGTTGTCATCCATAATTATAAAACTACAAGGGAACGGGCAGATCGAAGATATGAAGGATCTTTCCCTGCAAGAATGTGAGGGCCTGCATGATGCATACAGAATGAAATCTCTTTACTGTACAGTGACTTGAGGGTTAAAGTCCGTTAAAAAGAAGCTAAACTTAAATTGCAGCTTGACACGTGTCAAGGTGCGTCTCAGTGTCTTTCACCTTTCGCCGCTTCCTCTCACACTGAGAGTAATTGCACATTTAGAGGTTAATAATTTGCCTCATGCCTGAGGCCGTGAATTGGCAAATGGAAAGAGGTGTGATTTTAAATAAGTGAAAAAGCCCTTTTTATATCTGCAGAAACCTGGAGAGAAGTCGCTGATTTTAATCTACACAATTAACCCTTTCACGGAATAATGTTTCTGGATCAAAGCCATGTCTTTCTTTGTTTTCAGTCTGTAGACCCCCCCCCCTCCCCGTTACAAATATCACAGATGATGTGAGCTGTAAATATATTCCGAAGCTGAAGAGACAGACACCGTTTTGCATCAGTGGGATATAATAAGTCATCGCAGAGTAATTAGACAGTTAACGAGGGCAGAGTTTGACCTACAGATGAAATGTGTCGAGGTGTTGAAAGGAGATGTTGACGTGTAGAAAATGCTAAAACGAAACTCTGACAATCATTCATGATGCAATTCATTCAGTTACACAAGAGAATATTTCATCATCATTTTTGATGAAGCCGAAGGATACAGCTTGTGAATCTTAACGGTGTACAGTCATGTTTTCAGTCCAAAAGCCAAAAATAATATCAAGATATTAATAAAACTTTTTTGACGCTTTTTACATAGATTATTCCTGAACTTCCTGAATTGAATGATTTAATAGATTTTTCTGTGGCGCTGGGTGTATCTCCACTTATCTCTGCAATTTTGAATTGTTAACATGTTTTTTTGAAGTATTTTTTTTTGATCTGAGGCAATAAGACATGATGATCATGTACAAATACTGTATCGGAAAGAGTGAAAGGAACCGCTTCAACGTGTCATTTTAGTGATTGAACCTGGATTATTTCTCCGTGGGGCTTCCAGTTAGGCCTGCTGATTAGACACTTGAAAGTTTCTTTGATGCAGCAGTGAATATTTCTTCAGAAATATTTCTACTCGACCACTTTCTGGTTTTTGTGAAAGTCTCGAACATTTTCTACTTAGTGAAAATAAGAAGATTTAATTTGGTAATCAGCCACTTCATCATGTAATCTCTATTCAGTGTGTCTATGAATAACCTTGATTTTAAGCATACAAGAGATTTGTTCAGTTGATTAAAGAACTGTCAAGGTAAAAAAAAAATTTTTTTATTTGCAAGTTGCACATTATGATTAATGGAAAGCTGATTATTCTTCCTGCTTTGATTATTTTAGGGGAGTAAGTTTGTGCAAAAAAAATAAAAAATAAAATAAAAAACATCAGAAGAGATGAAGAAGAGTCCAAGAGTTCACTTTACACTCCGCAAATTTAAATGCGCAAAATGCATTGTTTTATTTATGTCAAAAGAAGATGTGATGATTTCTGTAGTCATGTTCCCTAACAAGAAGCATAAAAAAAGAAACTGTCTGATGTGCAACCCATCTAGTTAATTTTACTTGGGATTCACCGTGTAATCCCTCTGGCTATTCTTTTGAACTTCATCTTGTCTGGAGTTGGGGAGAGTTGGTGGGAGCGAATCTCACACGGAGCGCCGTATCTCTAATGATGCACACGTGGCCCAAGGACAGCGAGTTTTGCATTGCTTTAAGAAACTGTCACTTCCATAAAATGCACGAGTTGACTTGTTCCTGTCCTGAGATATAAAGTCATTAATCTTTTAATCCACTAACAGATGTTGTTTCTATCATTTTAGGGGCTGGTGCACGGTGAAGGACCAACACAGCATGTGTCAAGACTTTGAGTACTTTAGCCAGTATCCTGAGTTGACACGCACTCTCACTCTCTCTCACTCTCTCTCACTTTCTCTCACTTTCTCTCTCATTCACTCACTCACGAGCAGGAGTGGGAATACAACCAAGCAAAGCAGCGCCCATTACATCCAGGTATGATTAGAAGTGGGTCACAGCACTGTATGTGTCTAACCTATAGCAGCCACTCTGAGGATCATCCACATGCAATGACAAAGAGGATGAAGACTGGGTCACACTGAGGGGAAATCACAGCTGGCAGAAGAGTTTTCCTTTACATTTGAAATGACTTATATTACCTGTTTGCCAGTTATACACATGCACAGATGTTCTTGTAAGGAAAGGACAGTCTACTTACAGTATCTACCTCTAGCATCCTTAAATAAAAGAAGATGCTCACCTGCGGAAGTCTCGTCTTCTTTAAATTGACTTTCCTGATTGGAGAAAATGTTAATTTCCTTCAAGCGTGCATAAAATTAAAGCAGCAGAGTTAATAATTTGCAGAGTGGAATCATACAGGTATTGCAGCAGGTTCCTCCTCCTCTCCTACTCTAAGGTAGATGTCCTTGCACCTCCCACTTGCAACCTAAAACCACCCTGCACATGCACAGTGTGTACACTGATGCACAGACAGGGAGGTGGGGATTTGAGATGAGAGGTCAGTGCCTCCTCTCAGGTGTGGGCAGGGTGTTCTCTCAGTTAAAGAGTAATAGATTAGTAGAGTTTCACCCCTTTTTTTTAGCAGCAGGACATCATGCAAGTAAGATGGTGACCTCTGCAAGTACAAAACATTAAGGCACAAGCCAATGAAGTAACCATGAATGCATAAAGTTTACAATGTTTTAAATGCATCTGTATTTACACTGTGCGTGTTTACTGGTATGGAGGTTTCTCTCTTTGTTTTTGGAATCTATTGGAGTCAGTTTGATGCATTTCCTAGTCTTGACATCTGTATTTGATAAGACATTTTGTTTATAAATGAAGAATGCAGTGAATTGTGCATTGTCAGTCATCATTTGCATTATTCTCTCTATCCACTTTGCAGGTTGCAGAGAGTGACCACTGAACTACTCACTGTTTAATTGGCTGGGCTTAAAAGGTGTCCTGCACAAAGCCGTGGAGAAGCACAGCGGGTGTCTGCGTCTCAGGAGTAAGAGCTAAGTTTAGCAAATCCTCTCAGTGTGTTTCTCAATGACAGCACATGTTGGACAGTCTGCAGAGAAACTCACGAACGCATAAGCTCACATGCAAACATGCAGCAGACACACAGGTACTGCACATATTTACTGCGACAGCTGAGCATGCAGTCCGTACACGGTGTCCCTGCCACGCACGTGCTGACACGCACAGCTTGGAAATGTATGCAAATAAGGCAAATGAGCTCCCGTTGCACTCTAAATGGTGGGCTGTTTGCATGGTGGTGCTTTTTAACAGATGACTGAAAATATGCATATTTTTTTATTTGGAAATTGAAACAGTGCCTACACATGGAATAATAAAAGTTCTAATATCAATTTAGAAGAGAATAAACGTATGCCTGCGCCTCGCTATGTGCAGATAATGACTTATCCTTCATGGAAAGTTTTTATCTGCATGATAGTCAGAGGTCAGAGGGCTGGAGCTGGCAGGGATTCAACACCCAAGGACAGGTCAGCAGGATGGAGACAGCGACTCAGCTCTTAAATACTTTTTAGATTTGAAACCAGCTTTTGATTGTATCTTAATTTTATACTAAATGATATGACATTATATTTCTTCATTTTCAAATTACAAAAGTACAGTAACAAGGACCAAGAGTTAAAATGGCATTCATCTACTTTATCTACAATGTTTTTTTTTTTTATTGTGAACAATGTTTCACAGAAAAATAAGGTAACATGTCGACATCATGAGAACGTGGGTGTGCATCTTAACCGGCTCACATTGATTTGTTTGAAGTGGTGATGACCCAAATACAGAACAATAACATGCACACACAAGAGACACAGGAGGAGTGGCAGGTAAACAGTCCTCACACCTCACATGATATTAACACAGACAAGAAGCACGACACTGTGTCCTCTTTATCTGCCATTCACACCAGATATGAGATTTATGAGACTGGAGATAGACCACTATTAAACAGCCACTGAAAATGATCTTTGAATAAGATGTTGAGAAAAAAGAACAATCTATTTCATGTTTTCCTCTATCCAGTCTCGAAAGCTGCTTATTCGTGTCTGAACCGTGTAAGTCTGTAGGTGGCAGTTCTTTTCCTCATAGCTGAAACTCTCTAAACCAAGCAGCTGCCAGCCTGTGCCGGAGGCTCCCTGAGTCTCCTCGTGACCAGACAACACACCACTTGTGGATGAAAACCCAGCTGGCACGGCTGTGAGGCCTGGAATAACACTAGGACAGGGGCTCTCAGGACTGGACGGCTTCCTAATGACACACAGTGCATTGTCACTGATCTCTGTGGTATGTGTTCCTCCTTGTGCAAACTCTCTTTCGCATTGAGTAACATCACTCAGCTCAACAAGTTTGCTCTGGCTGGAAGCGGTGTAGCGGCCCAGGTGCCTCTGATTGTTTGGTAAAATCCACCTCGTGGTGTAAGCCTCCTGCACTATCACCTCTCCTCCTTGCATTCTGGGTAGACACACTGGCAACACGCGCTCACTGATCTTGGCCTTGTCCTTTAGCTTGAGCACAGCCACGTTGGAGTCTGGTGCAACGTAAAAGTTTGGATGCACTAAAATATCTGAAACCTGATGAAGAAGAAAAGGAGAAAAAATGGGTAAAAATGGGAAGTTATTTTGGAATATATAATATGTTGAGATCAGATAATATGCGGCAAGATACACAAATATTTCTTATCCAAAACAAATATAGTTGTATCGCAGTAAGGCTTTAAGTGCACACATGAATCATTTACAAACAACAACCTATCCACAAGCTTATATTTATGTATTGAAAATTCCTAGCTTAAGACTGGTAAATGTTGCAGTCATGGGAGACTTTTTTCTTCTTTATGACCCAAAAAAATAAAGGTTCAACCATAATTATAATGCTTTTGGTAATTTGCAGGTCAAAAAATATTTAGATTTCTGGTTTAAAGGTGGAATAAATGTGATTTAAATGACTTTTTCAACTGGCAGTCAGGACCTTACACATTGAAACTAATGACTGTGTTGTACCCTGAGGTGGCGCTGGCTTCTCGGCTGGTTCTGCATTCCTATGACAACCTTCACGTGTGCCGGGTGAAGGGGCTGCTGCTTGTCCTTGCCTACCACACACTGAGCTGCCACCAGGACGCTACGCTGGGTGAGCAGAGCCCCGCTGCAGGTCAGGTACCAGAACGAAGATTCCTCCGACACCTCCCGCTGCTCGGACATGCTCATTCCACGGGACCTGTGGGTGCCGCTGGCAGTGTGATCAGGAGGTGAGCGGATATAGATGGCTGCATGCCACGGCCACTGAGTGTCTGAGAGGTTGTGAACACTGAAAGTGGCAAATTTGCCACAGACTGTAGGAAGAGAACAAGAGGAGAGAGAGAGTGCCAAAAAATTCAGAATTTCAATTCAGTCATTTCATAACATACTGGCAAATGTGCACAATAGTGTTTAATAATTGTTCATTAAATTTTGTATAACAAGGAAAAAGATCTGAAACACAATCTGTGTGTAGGGTGTTTAAAGGAATACTGACATCTGGAAAATCTGTTTATTCCTTTTCATGCCGAGAGTTAGAGGAGAAGATTACCTTTGGACAGAGTAAAGCTAGCTGTTTCCCACTGTTTCCAGTCTTTAGGCTAAGCTAAGCTATCTGGCAACTGGCTGTAACTTCCTCTTTTTCATAAACATGTGAGAGTGGCCTAAATCTTTTATTCTAAAGCAGGGGTTCCCAACATGTGGGCCGGGGTTTTTGGTGAAAAAAATGTTGACTTAAGTATTTAAGCTTTTGTCTTTATCTTAGTCTTAAACTTCAGGAACCGCTTAAAGTCAGTTAAATTATTGCACAAAAGACCTTAGCAACCAAAGATCACTGTGGTGAAGTTCCCATCAAAACAACAGGCCTAGCACACGCGCTAATGGCAGAAAATCAACAGTGTCCATGGAAACAGTAGAATTTTACAGTTGTAAAATCTCTTTCATTGTTGTAAATTACAACAATTAAAACACCCTCATGTAAAGTTAAATTTAAGCGTCATATTAAAGGAGAAAATTTGCTGTTTTTTTCCTCTTTGAAAGTAACTCAGGTTTCACTTAACAAGCTGGGTCTAAACTGCAGCTGCTCTCACCTGGTGAGCAGGAAACATGACGCCCACTCCACCTGCCGGTCTTCAGACAGGTGCGTCGGGGGCTTCCTGTGTGGCGGTAGAGAGGTGACGCACACTTGTACTTGATGCTCGTGTAGATCGAGTGAAAACCACGAGGAAGCTCGTCCAAAGCTGCGTCATCTGTTCCTGCACTGGACTGTCTGTTCAGTGGAATAAAGCCAGCTGACAACAAATCATGCACGCCGTACCTCGATGAGAGCAGTCTCTGGTTTGGACTCTCTCTGTGGGGAAAAAAATGCAGTTTGTCTTAGTGGCTCCTTATCTGCACTTAACTCACTTCATGTGGAAATACTGTCACCAATGTGACATTAACGTCTAGAACAAGATTAATCATTTCAAACGTTAGCTATGCATAATTAAAAGTAGTCGGACAAAACAAAAGACAGATCAAACTCCCTTGTGTAAAATGTGTTTTTCAAATGACTATTTCCAGGGTCAGTAATGAGCCTATTAAAGGCTCTATTAAAGTTGCATTGTCTGATTTTTTTTTGTGCCCAATAAAATTTAATTTGAGGATACTGTATTTGTTGATTGGTGGCAGTTGATGGATTGTATTATAAAATCAGAGATGGTAACTTTAATATTGTTGGACATTAAAATAGTAAAATCTATTATAATTACCAGTTTGACATGTTCTCCGTTTCTGAGACACATTTAGGGATATGCATTGCTTCTACACTCACCTGTATGATTTGTATGATTTACATAAGTCATTTTGCAGTTACCTTACTACACACAAGTACGTGACTGATCTCACCAAAAGGCTCAACCTGTTTGGTGGCACCAGAAATCTGCAGTACACACACTGAGATTACACATAATCTGCACCAGTTTTCACAACAAAAAACCTAGACATAGTGGTTTTAAATTGGCTAAAATGATGTGAGTCATAAAGGATACCTTGGTAATAGATTTGGCTTCACAACGCTTTGTCGCACAAGTTCAGACACTTTGGGTTCTCGACAAGCTGTAAGAGGCAAATCAAACATGTGACTGTTAGTGCATGAGAATCACTTTCAGGGCTTCCATTGTTGAACAGCTCTGTTTCCGTAACATGAGTAATTGTGAGAAGAAGGGTAAGTTATTCAGAGTAAACAAGAACAATTCTAAGCATAAAATAATCAGGGGCAAACGTATTCTTTATTAAGAAAAATTCACAACCATCCATCTTTAAAAATGGCCTTGTTGACCATGCACTTATCATAGTGCTCTAATTGCTAAACTGTGCCTTTGTTCACATGTCAGGACTTGTGTCATATAAACAAATAGTCGGACTTACATTTTGTGCTGTCGTCACATAGTAATGAAGTGGAAAAACAGGCTACTTTTTGTGTGTGTGTGTGTGTGTGTGTGTGTGTGTGTGTGTGTATGTATAACAGTTTGTTTGCAGCCCTAATGTGTTTTTGAAAACAACTACCTTTCACACACTTTGGTGGCCTGCTACTCCAGGATCCATTAGGGAGGCAGGCACTCAGGTGGTTTCCAGTCAAAATGTAGGAGTTTTTACAGAAAAACTCAACCGTCTCTGCGCCCGCTGCTGTGTCAAGAGCAGGTCTGTGGTAGCCGTTCGGCAATTTGGGTGGAGGGGCACACTGGACTCTGCTTGTTTGGCCTATATGAGTACATTTGTGAGAGAGGAGCGAGAGAAAAACTCCCCCAACAAATGCATTATGTGGCTTTTGTACTGTATAAACATGAGAAATGAAGACCAGAAACGACCTGGTGAAAAGGTACCTTTCACACATGTGGGAGCTGTGCCACTCCACATGCCATTAGTTTGACAGGTCCTCTGCTGGGAGCCGGTGAGAGTGAAAGGTGGATGGCACCGATAGTTTACAGTCACAACCTCATCCTTGAGGCCATATACAGGTAGCAAATATCCATTGGCCAATTCCTCTGGAGGTGCACACGCTGGATTCCTACTGGCTGAAACTGTGGAGAAATTTTGATGAATGAAAGACAAACCTAAACTGAATCAGCAGCTAATAAAACTGAATAAAGATACACAATTGCTTTTAAATGAATTCACATCAGTGGTACTAAAATGATGATAAAGTTTGAAAATCCTTTTTTACAGTTATTTGATATATTGAGTTTGGCTTGTTGAAAAAAAACCTAAATAAAGTAAATAAATATTAGTATTTTTCCCCTAAAAGGAATAACTTTACTTCAGGTACCTCTTGCTGCATGTGTATGGCAATCCCTTTATAATTGTGAAGTGAAACCAACTAGTGATCATTTTTTTCGTTTTCTTTTTCTAGAATTTTGAAAATATGGGGGGGTAGCAGACTGCTTTTAAATCAATGTATGTAATAAAAAGAATAATGGCCCCAGGATACTGCCCTGAGGAACCCCACAAATTATGTGTTTTGAAGTGGAGAGTCTATCAATTATATCAACCTTATGAAATAAAATGAGAAAGAAAAAGGAAAGAAATGGATCTCTTTTATTCTAGCCTCTCTAAAAACTATCTTTTAGTTTGGTCTGTTGTCATATTATCTTTTTTCACAGGGTATTTTTTTCTCCCAGAATTCATTACATGCTGAAAACTCTACTCTTCTTTGACTTATTGATTTAATATTTACTGAAGTATTACTGGAATATGCCTTAACATCCACTCGTGGACAATGTAACACTGTGATATGCAAAGGTTAGTTTGCAAGAGTGAAGGTCCATTAGAAAAAAAAAAAGACTGCAACGCAAGTTAGACGCATGATTTGCTTCAAAGAAAGCAAATACAGAGAAGCAGTATGATAAATCTGTATCACTGAATGCCCGATTCACATCACTGCTCTGTGTAGGAGGCTGCACACGCGCACTCACACACATACACACACACACACAAACAGATATATATATATATATACACAGAAATGAAAGAAAAATGTTCAGGAGCAAAATGCATGGAAACAGGAGTATCATCTGTATCATGTATTCATGATATCTGAAGTAGATACCTACAGTATATCATGAATAAGAATATATCAGACATTGTTATTCTGTGTATGTCGTGTCTACAGAGGAAGCCAACTTCATACAGTGAATCAGCCAAATCTTCTACAGAGTGAGGACAAAATGAGAGGAACAACAATGCAATATAATACAGAAATACTGCTATAAACTTTGTCAATCCCGTGTCCATACTGTATCTGTGTTACATTCACATCACTAAGAACGATTATACCTGCCTGAACTCTCCTGAAAAGTAATAACAAATCCATCAAAGTTGTTGTAGCCATCTGAGGTGAAAAGGATGTGCAAGAAATTCCCAGAGCTTTTTACTGGAGGAGGCAGCTGATCCCCACAAAACCGGCCAATCACAGGGGAGCTCAGATCGTCGCCGTCTCGCACCTCAACGTAGTCATAACGACAGTTATGGTCAGACTCCAAACTGAGCAGTGAGAACCTGCAGCATAACCATGGAGAAGTGATGTTTCACAGATTTTTTTCAACCCAATTTGTAACACTGAACAACAGTCTTCCAAGTGCTGAATTGTGTAAACAATAAGTCCAATTATGTGGGCTAATGCAGGGCTGTCTGGCTGCTGTGCTTTGACCTCAACATCATTTGACAGACTGATAATGAGTTGGTCCCCCATAGAGTTGCTCACTGAGGAAAAGTAGTTCCAAGCACATAAAAACAAAAAACACATAATTTAGCTTGGCCTGTCTCAGCAGGATTACTGAGTTAGTTAACGGAGTAAAACCTATCACTGGCCTTGTCCATGTTAGTCCACGTTGGAGGGTATTCCCAGAAGTTACTCATTAATGACTCACTAGTTTTGTTAACATGGTTTTGTGAGACTGACACTGTGTATTTTTTTTGACGTTTTGTTGCACTCAAACATAAAAACATTTCACTAACAAGTAGAAAAGAGAAGCTAATCAGTGAAATAATTTGATGCACAACTTCCAAATTTGCTGTTTGTCTACTATGGTAATATTTGCCCTGACTTGAGCCTATGTCAGTGCTAACCCTGAAGTATTCTGAGCTCTAGGCTTTTCATTAATCCAAACACAGACAGTAAAATCTCTAGACTGCTTGTCTTACCAGTTTATCACTTGGGGCTCAGCAATCCTTATTATCAATAACGTGTTGGACTTTTCAGACAAAGTTATATGGTGATATTATGATTTTTTTTTTTGATATCTCTTTGTGTTAAAGGACTTGACTTTACATTAGAGCCCTGGAAAAGTGACCTACCTGAGCTCGATGCTGCTGCCCTTCTGCACTTGCACTGTCCATTCACATCGGGCATTTGTTGGGTAACTCTCCAGGGCTATGTGACCCTGAGCCCGCTGGATGACGCCTCCGCATGCTATTTCCCACAAGAGAACTGTAATTACTTTCATTTAGTGAATTCACATACCCGTCAAATATTTGTTTATCGCAGTGGAACCCAGCATTTTCATTGTGGAAAGCAGCACCAGCAATGTGACACGCTGTGTAAGAGGGCAGATAATATCCAAAAAATGATGAGATGACGGGATCCAACCAGCCACTACAAAAACCATGATTATTAACATCATGCTGGCATTCAAGCTGGAACGTGTGTTTTTCAGAGGAGTAAAAAAAGCTAAACAAGACACAGCAAATGCTCCAAATTGCTTTCTGTCAGTCCACTGAGGGTTGAAATGAAGGTTTGAATTGGGATTTAATGGTTAAAGGTTTAGGGCCTTTGGAATATTTCAGAATTCACAAAAAATAGTTCCTTTAGCAAAGCATTAGTGAAATCACACAGCCTGTACTTTGTCAGTTTGTCTATCGCACTCTCTGAACAGGTTGTACAGGACAACACAAGTGGCACAATCGCTCCTTTTGCGATTGTGTCGGACTGGCCGTACACAATAGAATGGCCTCCAAGTGGTACTCTGCCCTGGGCCATGAAAAAATAAAGAACGGAAAAATACCATGACAGTGAATAACAGGAGTGGCAACAAGGTAAACCTGTTTGCTTTCTTCTAATAATAGCATTATGTCACCATTAGCTTTACCAGCACACATTTGATTCAAATGGTTTGGTATGGGAGCTGCTGCTGTATTATACTGATAATTAAAGAAAATTAAAAAACATGGATCCTTTTCAAAATTTTTGTATTTTTAGAATAGATGCTTCAAGTAGAAACTGGCAGTTGTCTATAGTTGCAGCTGTAGCTTAGCTGAAACCAAATAAAAAAGCGTTGTCGCCACCAAGTGACCTTATTGTGTATTACAAATGTGGATGTGGCAGTCTGAAAACTGATAATGATTACAGCCCCCAAAATGAACATGTATATTTGTGTATTTCTTCATAGATATTAAAGAGATTTAAACTCAAGTGATGGATTATTATATTTCTTCTTAACTTGTACTTAACCAAAGCACATTTCAATGTTCAATGTTCACAAATGCTGCAAATATGAGCAACGATTGTAAAGCTGTACTACAACATATGCCGGTCTGAAACAGCTCTGTCCGTCATTCTGGAATGACTTAGTTGTCAATGGTTGCATTTACCTTAGGCCTCACATATGACTCTATAAACTTATCATTTTATATGGTGACTAGCCAGATAACACTATACTGGTAAATGTAATCTACAAAGAAAAGCATTCAGCCAAAGAGCTGTATTTATGATATACAAGAGCACATCATCTTCACTTGGGCATGGTGGAGTGCTGTGCATTACCGAACTGTGTGCACCGCATGATTCATGCATTCTCTTGTCAGAAATGACTATTCAGAATATTCGGTCTATTCTGTGGCAAGATAAGGCCTTACGGCAATACTGCATTACAGCAGTTTGACTCACTTTTACAGTCGCCTCCACTCCAGCCTTGGCGGCACTCTGTACAATACTTTCCATTGACGAAGAAATCATCATTGGCTTTCCATGTTCCATTGTGGCAGCTCTTACAGTTTTCAAACAGACTGCAGCCTCGCAAGGACAAAAGGCACAAAGACGTTGAGATTAACAATTTTAAGTCCATTTGTAACTCTCAGTCAGTGACTAATATAACACCTTAGTGATGTGGCTTATACTGAACATTGATGTGAACAGTAAGCATCTCCTAGACTATTCACGATAAAACAATTTGTATATAAGCGACAATGAGAGTGTACCTGGGTGAATGATGCAGGGGTCACACTGATCCAGAGCATTGCGGCAGCAGGGTACAGTGTAACCTACCATCGACCCTTTTGAGGGACACCGACACTGGATCAGGTGGTACTCGCAACATGGACGACACATGACGCTCCACTCGGAGCTCGGGCAGTTGTCCCCTGTCGGAACTGTGGAGCCAGAACAAGAGACCCTTGGATCAAACTCAATAACCGCCTTCTGATACTTTCATTTTTGGTGGTCAAAATAAAATGTAAAGACTTACAGGTGAAGAATTGCACAAAGATATTTATCTCTATAAAAAAATAAAAAAAAACTCATATGCTTCTATGTGTGGTTATAGAGGGCAGCTACTCAAATTCATCCCTATAGCATATTTTCCTGTAATCTGATGATCCAGATCAGACTTCCCTGTACAACACAGGTACAACATTTCACGATGACTGAACAAATTGCTGAGGTGTGAAATTTTTCTTGGCAGGTGATTTTGTGGCAGATGAGGCTTTCAGGCTCAAGCTGGACTGCATTCTGTTTGTGGATAAAATCTTACCTTGACCCACAATGATAGGCCATGCTGAGCAGCTTGGGATGCAGAGACCGGTTCAAATATGTCCCCAAATCCCACTAAAGACGCAAGTTATTTTCTTCCAAAAACCCTTTTTTGAATAGCTGATGTATTATTAAGCATTTTGTATTGTTCTCTCAAACAGTGAACGGTGCAAAGTGGACTCAGGATGAATCTCAGAAGCCAACTGTCATCATCACACAATTAATTCTACCTATCAATAACTATGGATTTCTGTGCTAAATGAAATGTAAAACCCTCCCAGACTTTGAACCCTCACTAATATGTCCAATATCTGCATTAATTGGGAAGGGAGAGGCTGTATACAGGCTACAGCAGGAGAAGTTGCATAGTAGCATGAATTGAGACCAGTCCTAGCAGAACAAGTGACTCACTCTCATTAAATAACTCCAGAGTTAGTCAGCAATAAAGTCACCAGCCTCATTTTTTGTTTAAAAAATTAGCAGCATTTTCACAAAAAGGGAAGCCACGTGACATAAAGACCATCCACTATTGTGTACAACAAAAGCAACATTCAATCTAAACTGCAACTTTACTTACCATGTGGCCAAGCTGTTACACGAAAACAGAAATTTAAGAGGAGGTAGCAGAGCTTGGGGTCCAGGAGAGTGGGCACGGGTACTTTCCACGAGAGGAAAGTGAACATGTTGGCTGCCAAACTCACAGCAATAAACCTCTAAAGAAGTTCCAAGAAGGTCGCGCTAGCTCAGTGTTATCTACAGATGTGTCTCTCTGCTCAAAATATGACGTAACTATGGATGATGAATTCACCCATCTCAGCATAATGGACAGAGATCCTTAACCCATTCCTTCCATGATGCTTTTTCATTTGTGAAATCTTGTATTTGCTTTGAGATGTGTAGCTCAAATCGATGGTAGGACTGCAACTAGTTCCTGCTGCTCTGCTCCCGGTGTGAGTTCAGAATGAGTGCTGCTGCACGCTGAATAGTAACAGGGGGAAAATACTTGCTGGCAAAGAAAGTGGAAAGTGCATTTGGGGGAAATAAAGACATCCTAATGAGGAAAACATGGATGTCCAGGAAAAAAAAAAAAAACTCCATCTGTCAGTTTGCTGAAAGAGGTTTCAAGGAAAGAAAACAAGTGAATTTCTCCAAAGCTGCAAGTTAGATATTCAAAATCTTTTTTATTTTTTCAAATACTTAAAAAATACATATCTGCACATGCATCAAGCCAAAATTGTTCACTGATGCCTCATCATACACCAGCTGTCAGGCCAGACATGACAGATAACAGATGTTACCTCTAATGACCCTATGAAATGTTTATGATGTCAGTCTACGCAGATTTGCCAGGAGCAATGAGGCCGATAGGATCGACACAGCCCATTTCATGACCAAGGTTGCTTTTCCATTACCTAAGCTGTTACTTAGGAGTTTCCGTGTTTTGATATCTGTTCTCATCTTCTCCATTACAGCAGGTTGTGAGCAGACAGATTGAGAGCGATAAGGCTACGTGACTTTAACTGTTGTTTGCTGTTGTTTATTTTATTTTTTTTACTTTTTGTGATACCTGATATAATCACTTTCTTCTAGGAGATGACTGAGATTTGTGGCATCTTAATTACTGTGAAAAAGTTCACAGCAAATTTCCCCCTTTCTTTTTTCAAGTCATAGTTTCATATTATCATTATGCACCATATACATATATATATATTTTTTTAGAGCCCCACACTTTCAAGTTCACAAGTCAACATAAATCACTTTTTACCCTGAACATATACAGCAGGTGTGGCTGACAAACTATATATGGTCAGGAAAAAAAAAAGTGTGGATTCCCAATTTCAGCCCAAAACATGTTAGACAGGTAGACAGAAGAACTCTTATCATCCCTAAACTGACACAAATTAGATCGCGGACCCCCATTTGATAAGATTTTGTCCCAGGGTCCCCCAAATAATGTTTGCTTTTAGATGTTTTATCACAGAAAGTGTTTGAAACCTACGACCAAAATAGTCACACGTTCTGTCATTGTGTTAGTTATGGATGGAATTATAGTGAAAATAAAATGAATCCCCTTTTTGCTGGAGACCCCCAGGACAAGAACCCCTGGGGTACCCCGGGACCTAGTGATCTGAAGAACCTTTTTCACTTCACCACCATGCTAGAATGATGTGTGGCTGTAGTCTTGGATAAAAACCTACAGTAATGCACTGGTGAACTGTGAAAGAGGTCACTTGTAGTAACCCCCCACCCCAGCTCCAAACAGCTTATTACTGTCATTCAGCTCAATATTTTTATTTATAGATTGCAAGTTCACTCTTTTGGTTCAGTCTCATTGATCTCATCAGGGTGATTTTCATATTTTCAGTGAAAGACTCGTAGTTTCCTTCCTGCCCATCACCAAGTGACAGACGGAGGAGTTGGTGGAGTCAAAAACAGAGCTACAAGGAGAGTGAATATTGGCCAAAAATACCACTCCAAATGAATCCTAACGTTGCTCCGTATAAATCAGTTTGCTACCATGTTTGCCATATCGAATTTGTGAGGTGATATTAGGTCAGGGTCATCTTTGCTGCCCTCAAGTGTTCAAAAAGAAAAAAAAAAAAATCAATGAATGCAGGTTTAAGGTGCATTTCATCATGAGGCTATGGGTATTAAACTGTATAAAACAGTGTAAGGTTAAATATATTGCATGGTGGGAATATGTTTCTACAGACAGCAAAAAAAACAGTCGTCATGATTCTTAACTGAAAACACCCCAGTGGTAATTAAGTCTCCCATCGACACAGTGCCAACCACATTTTGACCACCACTTTGAGCTGACATGTATAAAGAAACATGAGTGACTACTTTTGATGCTCGCAGCCTTTGAACTGTCAATCACTGCTGAAGATTTTGCCTCCTTCTCTCATGTTGAACCTGACCCAACCAGACATGAGAGGGAAAGATGAAGGGTGGGGTGGGGTGGGGGTGGGGGTGGGGGATTACGTATTCCACACTATGACACAGTTATAAAACTCTCATTTGTGTCACAGGGCCAAACTCACTGTTGAAATGAGTTCTCGACATCAGAGACCAGTGTTTTTTGGTTCATGTAATTACCCATGGTGCTCTGTCGGGTTATTTTTAGCCCCCCAGTTGCTCAGAGGAATATTCCATTTGGAGGTCAGAGGCTCTCATCCAACCCTGCTCCCACATCCATTGACCTTCCTCAACTCAAGACAATAGAGACACATCCAGGGGCCCTCTCACTGAAACATATCACCTTAAACGAGACCCCAGACGTAGAAAGAATGAAGACGGATTAAGCTTTGCAGCAGTTGCATGAAGTAAGCTTTGATTGCCATTGCCAGCAGACATCTGAATTACTCCAAGCCCGGCAGGCTACAATGACCAGCTAGAATTTAGCACGAGCTGAAAATTAAAATGAAAAGAAAGAAAGAAATTAAATTGTAAATCCTCAAATGTAAATATGTAGAAAAATCCCGTCTGTTGTTGCATCTCATCAACAGTTAATGTTTGCCCAAAGCAAGCAATTCAAAGTTGGGACAAAAATAATAAGCACATGGTGCATTTTTATTGTATTTCTATAAACAGTTCAATGAAGGAGAAATTAAAATAAAATTTGAGAAGAAAATCAAAATGACTGAGTACAGACACAGAGAGAAATGGGTTTTATCATAAAATTTATTTTGTCGTAAAAAGTAAAACTCCTCAGTGTAATTCAGTTTCAAACATATCAAGGGGAAATGATATTTCTTATTTTTTAAAGACTAATAATTATAGTTTCTTGGTAGATACATTACTCAAAGCCATTCTCAACTATTTACTTTGCTCCTGGTGCTACTGGTGACCTGATGATCGGGTGATTTACATTCAGTGACCTTTATCTGTGTCGTCTATTCATTTGGTTGATACAGCTTGTATTTATTTGAGCAGGTCTCAGAATATTCACCTTCCTCTGTGCTCTGAATAATGACGGTCATAATTCTATTAACCACGTTCACATTGTTTGTTCATCTGCCTTCATATCAAACATCCGACTTCAGAGAGCTGTTTAATGTTCACACATGATCCCACAGCTGACACCTCTGCAAAGAAACACAATAGTCACCAACGCCTATGTTTGCAGAGTTTGACTCAGCTCAGAAACATAGTGTGCTGTAGCAAATGATGCACAACAGTTCAAAATGCTGAGGAAGTGTTTTCTTTGGAGGTTAAAGCCTACGTTGGTCCCACTGTCTGTCGTGCCTTCCATAAACTACAGATATCCTGCTGCCTTGGCTCTGTTCATATTTGAGATAACAGATAAATTCCCCTTCAAACATTGCCATGATTGTGACATTTCATAAAAAAAATTTTGCATGTCCGACACCCCTTCTAAGAAAAATATCATGATCAGAATTAAACAATAGATATAGAAAAGCTTATATTTCAATATGATGCCAATAACTCTCAAACTGAGTAAATGCTTCTTCCCTCCCTGTGAATAAAAACTTCCTTTATTCCTTCATCTGTAGACTAGAGCATAAAAGACACATTATTATATTTCTCTGTAATATAATTTAAAAATAATTTTAAAAATGCCTCAAATGAATATGAAGCTTTAAATATATATATACATACAAATGCCTTCATACCTCGAGTCAAACTGTATAAAACCCACAAGACTATTAAACCCAACCCAAATCACTGATTCCGTGCATGTACTACTAAAACTGCTACTTACTCATATTCTTAATATTACATTATTTCACATTCTCACGCCACATGGTTAAAGGCTACAGGTTTCTTAGCCTATTGTTACCCTGCACAATGGCTACACTCCCAAACCGCTTTTCTCCCCTGAAAGCAGTTTTTCCTTGGCCGAGTCCTGAGAGTCTTTGAGGGGAGTCTTCTTCATTTCTAGACTTTTAACCCAAGTGTAGGCTGACGAGCCGCCGAGAACCATCATGTTACTGGTCCACCACAGCAGGCTTTTACTGGAGGAGTTGTACACCACTGCAATAACAGTCTGCGCACAGGCCTTTGCCGTCCCTGAGACGTTGTGCGTGAGAGGACTGGTGTACTTAATCTGGAGACCTGTGACGTAGCCGATGGCGAAACCAAACACTCCTCCGAGTGTCATCATACCCCAAAACCCGAGGTCAGTGAAGCGGCTGAAGCTGGCGATGCGACCCACCTCTCCAAACACGACAATGAGCGGCAGGAAGAGGACGCAGGCATTAATGTTGTTGTAATAGGACAGTTTCCAGATGTTTCCGTCCACTGCTGGCATCACCTTCTTGGTGAAGATGGCATTGAGAGAAACACAAGCGCTGGCAAGTACCCCAAAAAAGACGCCTGACCAGGACAGGGACCCCGCCATACCTTCCTGGTCCACGCCAAGCCAGAATCCACCTGAGAAACAAGGAAACATACAGGTCTGTGACATCACAGGACAGTTTTCTTACCAATATTAATAAAGTCATTTAAGTGAATAATTTATATTTCTTGGACTTATACATTTTATAGACAAGAACTGAAATATTGATTAAAATTAGCACTACAAAAGTGAATTAAATGACAAGTTTGTGTCAGAAAATAGTGAAAAGTCAACATTCACACGTTCTCACAGATGACTGTTCTATCCTGAAAAAACTAAAATTTTTTACATTGGATATGTATCATCACAAATTGGGTATTTACAATGAAATAAAACATAACAGCAGAAACTAGTGAAAGTTTGCGATGTCTGCTTGATAAATGACTAAATAATGTTACTGGATGACAAATCTTTTCAGCACTAATTGCTGAACGATCTGCAAAATAAAGAAAAATCATATTTGGGTGATTGTGATACGAGACAATTACGTGGGAATGGTAATGTTAATATTTAATTTTGTTTATTTAATATTCCGGAGAATATGATTTGCAAACTGTGGCATCTCTGTAGCATCACAACGCTTAATTCATGTTCTGTTGTGACACATTTTACCTTTATCAAAAAAAAAATTGCAGCTCCTGCGATTTGCCAAATTGCGATTTCAATTAATTTTTCAGCCCTAAACATACAGTACCAGTAAAAAGTTTGAATACACTTTTCCATTGTGTCCAAACGTTTGACTGGTATTGTACATATCAACTATTGTTAAGTTGAATGCTATTAAAATTGAAATGGTTAATATAATGTATACATCAGACACTTTTATGCACACACAATGAATAATTTCCACAACATTATTCAAACAGTTAATGGATTTTGGTTTATGTCTTTCCTAATCATTTCCATCTCATTTTATATGAATGATTGTAACATGTTTTTCTACTCGTTTTATGTCCTTTCATGTGATGCACCTGGTGCATGCAATTTCTTTATTGCTGCATTCATCAAGACTATTGATCACGTGCAAAGGTTGACAAATCATTTATTATTTATCTAATCGAGAAAAATACCGCGTTAACTGTCTCTATTCAGGAAAGAAGAAGGTTGACCTACCAAGTATGATCCCACAGCACAGTAAGGCTTGGTAAGATGTGGTTTGTTTCAGGATGACATACGACAGCAGCACATTGAAAACTGTGCTGAGTGAACGGCCGACAGTGTAAAAAGCCACTCCGACGTATTTCAGGCACAGGTTATTGAAGGTGATCATGCTGATGAACACAATGGACAGCGGCAGGACCTCCCGAGACGTCTTCAAGTCGAATCTGACCGACGGGAAGTCGATGAGCCCCGGGCACAACTTGGACAGCAGCTGCATGAGCCAGCACAGACCAACCGTCACCACGCACTGATAAAAAGTGACGAACAGCGGCGCGTCCAAGTCTCGGTTGTCCAGCAGATAATTATTAAGGAACACCATTGTTATTGAAATAAACCAGTACAGTGCAACCACAGCCGCTATTCTGCAAGCCCGGAATAAGAAAGTCTCTCCTTGTTCGTCCTGGTCCATCGTTTCTGAGCCGGACAGAGCCATCCTCAAGATAGTGAACCGCTTCAGGTGCGTCCTGTTCATGATTATAGAGAAAGAAGAACAACCGGGGTAAGAAGTGAATCATTTACAGCAGCTAAAAATGTAGCTACAGTGCAGCGTTGCTAACTATACGTTGCAAACATGACTGTTGTGTTGGGCCAGCGGCTACAACAAAAAGTTTTCCGGTCTGATTTCTTCAGAATAAAAGCGCCTTCTCCACAAATCTATGCCCGATTCAAAGGAATACAGTCATTTCACAGAAAAATTAAATCACTCACTTTTGGAATATATTCAATGGGAACAGTTGTTCAAGTTGTTGCTGCTAATTGTCTATTTCTCCGACAACACAAACATTCAAACATTTATTTTGAAGGCAGGCGCCCAAACCAGAAGTCTCCTAGAGCGTGACTACTTCCTGGAGTGAAACATTTTTTATTTTATTTAAAGAGACAGAGTCCTTGAATAAACGTGAGTCGGTGACCATTCCCATTCTTTCAAAAAAAAAAAAAAAAAAAAAAAAAAAAAAAAACCCAAACAAACTTAGGAGCTTTCATTATTCAAACTAGTTAATGTATTTATTTGTTTCAGCTTGAAGTAGCTACATTTTGCGCTACAGTTTATATGTTGCATTTATCCTTTCATCTGGTAACTAAGCCTTTCGATTTTAATGTTAACTCACCTGCCAAAAGGTTTATTAGCCCACATTTTTTTTGATTGGGTATGTGATGTATTGTATGTAAAAAAAAAGACGGTTTTCATACCTTAATTTGTCCGAGATTGCTCTGTATTTGAGTCTAGCATGGAGAGCTAGTCAATGAGGAAGTATCTTTTTACTGTTTCTACCCCTCCCAAGAGGGAACGGCACTGGTGGGTTTTGCATGACCAGAATTTCCTGATAGATACCTTTGCCCTGCCTTGCCAGAGGACACTGTCTAGGATAGATATGTAGACCTGATCGGAAAAATCCAGAAACTCTTTTTAAAACTCACAGTCAAAAGTAAAGAGCAAAGAGTAATGCCTTTACTAACATCAAAACAACAGGAGAATCGATAAAGAACTGACAACAAGAATTACGACAGCTTCTTTATGAGGTTTTACAATGGGAATCACTGCTTGAAGCCTTTAAGTGTGGTTGTCATGCTAATTTTACAGGAACACTCACGATGGTTTTCAGAATTAAAACCAGTGTAGTCTGTAACTTTATTTTGTTTGTATAAGTTATTTTAGTCAAGACCTCCACTGTATTTGCTGATACATTTACAGTTCAGTATTAAATGCCTGCAATAACCATGAAGCCATATACATATAACCTCTGGATATACATTTCTTTAAAAAAAAAAAAACGTAGCACATAAATTAGGCATAATCCAAGTTTCAATTTATTTAATAAAAAAAAAAGTCTTCAAGTCACCAATCTCCCTCTCTCAAAAACCCATGTTAGTATCCAACTAAAAAAGTAAAAACTATATGTATCCTATTTAAAATAACAACAACAACAACAAAAACAACAATAATAATTATTATTAAAACCGATTTCTCATTGTTTTCACTATGTACTGTCATTTTTTAAAATTCCCACTATTGGACATAGGCAGCAGCAGGCATTTATGGTTCTGACACATTACTGCTGCACTACAGCCTCAAGACAGCAGGTGGCAGAAAATAATCATAAATGCTGATTATGTGGCAGGCTGCAGATTATCAAGTCAGACTGACACATGACTTGTGCAAACACATTATGTAGTTGCATAGTCATGATTAGTAGGATTAGGTTTTTTATTTAATAGTGAAAAAGAAGCAATATATAGAGTGAAACAGTACACAAAGAACAAACAACCCAAAACATCTTAATTCATAAATCAGTCTTTTCTCATTTAGACTACTGGATTGGACTTTTCACTTGCCTCAGAACAGTAACCCTTGATCATCTACAATATGGTCAAAATGTGGCTACTTAAATCTAAACCTTTGTCTATAATACCATTCTTTGGATCTCTTCAAACTTCCTTGAATATACAGTGCACACAAAACTCCCATCTTCCTGCAAGAACAGAGGCAGTATTTGTGCAGCCTAACTCAGCCTGTACAACACATCCATCAGGAGGTGTCTGACCCCTCATTAGATTCCCTTTTGCTCAGGCTTGGAAGTGGAGAAATGCTGTGCTGGAGCCGGGTTTACTATTCACCAGACAGTTTGCCTCCCTGACCTCCGCCAGCTGGAGAGATTTCCACACTTTATTAGCAAGCACAAAAATTGAGGGAAGATGCTGCAGGTGGTATCTTAGATGATGGAAATGCCGAAGCTCTGTCCATTAGTAGATCTCCACCCAACATTTCAGTGCGATACTCATGTCAGAAGGTGTACAGGAAAGAAAAGCAGTTGTTAGCTCAAAACGAAAAGAAAATAAAAATGAGCAGAATACCAACACAGGTTTCACGGATACTTATGTTATATGTTATTTTACAGACCACAGACACCAGAGGCTTGTGCTTAATTCTGGATCTCAAAAATTGCAATTAGAATTAAAAATTACAAAAATATCAATATCATAATATGTTTTCCCTCTGAAGCCCTACACCTATCTCATGCTTAAATTGTATTGTCAAAAGAGACAGAACTGTACTTTACACTGAATATTATAAATGTCTAAAACTCTTATTTTTCATGTTGTGTGACTTCCTTTAACTTTGCCAAGTCTTTAGAAATTGTTCAGGGAAATTATATATATATATATATAGTATTGTACAACAAGGCTATCATAATAATGGGACTCTCAATGAAGCTTTTCCCATTGTGTGGTAAATATTCCATATACCCTCCAGATGGAACCTTTTGACACAGGAAGTGATCTTTGATACCTCCAGTTAATTCTTCCAAATAATGAGCATTAATTGTGAAACACTAATCTGTGATTGATGATTTAAAGAGTTATGTCTTTTTTGTATTATGTTTAACCAGTGTTGCATATATATTATACATATAATGTTGTTTCCATCACATAAGCAAAGAGCACCTTTATAAGAGAATGCATTTTTTAAATACCTTTTAATGCTGTAGATTGAGTATAAAGCTTTTGCTATTAAACAGTAAGTGAAATACCAACACACATATACTGAATACTAGATGTAGGCATCAGGGGCATAATTTACAGACTTCTCTGTCAACCTTTCTGTTAAATGTCAAGGGCCTCATTCAACAAACATTTGTGAAGGATGATGGCCACTTGATAATACAAACGACAAAAAAGCCCTCATCTAAATACCTCTTCATTGCATTTTACGCTAGTGTCACAGCAGAAGGAATGGCTTATGTCTATCACAACGCTCTGTAGAGAGAAGGCCAATACAGTAGATGTTGTTTATCACCAGAAAAGTCTGGGAGACATGATGAGCAATGCAAGACGTGCAGGCACACTTCACTGCCGCTTCAGTAGATTAGACTGCACTAAAACCTAATGGGGAAAAACTCCAGTAACCAAACTGCACAATGGAGTAACACATACCAAACTTTAACCAAAACAGAGACAAAAACAACTAGAATAATGCTCTTCCCCCAAAAGAAAAAAAAATGTGTGATACTTCCCAGATTATTAATTTTAACAAGTAGGCAGATGAAACCATACCAAAATACCAAATGCCTAAATTCTAACTGGCAAACCCCCATTGCCACAGGAGGTAACACAATACAAACCAAATTGAGTCAAATTACCACAAAGACTAAGCTTCATCTTACTAAACTACTTTATCCCGGATGAACCACCTAATTTGTCACAACCTGGCTCAAGGCTGGACAAAGGAGGGAAGACCACAGACACACACACACACACACACACGCGTTTTAGCTAAAAACAAGTTTATTTCATAGAACTAAAAAAGAAAGCAGTCTAAAGACAAACAAAATACAACAAAACCAAACAGAGTGGAAACCAGGGGCAAGAGAGACTGGCTAACTGCCACCAGCTTATATAGTGCAGCCAGTCCAGGTGAGCTGAATCCTCCTGACGACCGAACTCCACCCATCAAGTTTCTGCAGGGAGAGGCCTGCTTAAACTGGGCATATACTGCACGATTTTAGAAATCCTGTTGTTTAATTCCAACTCACACTGCACGAGTAAACCGTCTGCGATGTAAAGCCAAAGCTCACGATTTATATGCTCACACTGTAAGGTGCGATCAGCCGTGACCGGAGTGCTCACACCGTACATGTAAAAACGTCAATTTTTGTCAATAAAGATTTGATTGAAAGCACTGAGGCAGGCTTTGTTTTTTGCAACAATACTAAAAAGGCCCTGCCTTGATAATTGGCGCAGTCCTGTGTGCTGAAACATCTAAAAAGAGGCGCTAGCCATATGGCTTGGAAGACGTGGACAGTATGGCTTGTCCATTTCACAGAGAGAATTGGAGATAAGCCAGCTACCTTTACTGTTCTTAGGGTGCTGTTGTTTTCTGTCCAGCGTTGTGTTACCATGGCACTTTCAGATGATCTGCTTGCCATTTCGCGCAGGTGCAGTGAGAAAAAAGGCACCGACGTTTGGGAATCGGTTCGTGGCTCTGCTTCAACTGTGCGAGAGCCTGCGTCAGCCGACGAAAATTTCGAACATGTCAGAAATTCGTCCAACCGTCGCTCCCCCCTGTACACTGCACGACAAACGACGCCCAACGAAGGTGAAATTCGGCCCGCCTCTAAAATGAGTCGTGCAGCTCAAAAATCGGGGATAAAAAAACGAGAGAGGGTCGTCACACAACTCGGAGCTGAGGGAAACCAATTAAATCAAACACACAGTTTGACAGCAGGCGCCTACCTTTTTCCTCCGACTACAGACCAGTAACTGGCAAATTTTACCTTCTCAACCTCACCTAAACTGGAACATATAATCTGCTCAAGAACATGCAAGATTACTTATTATTTTGAGATATGAACACACATGACTACCAATATTATACCAACTCAAATAGAATGTCATCAGCTGTAGAGAAATTAGGCTGACCAATTGTGTCACTCACTCACTCGGGGATGTAGCGCTGGAATGTGTTCAACTCAGCCAAAAAGCTGTACTCTGTTATTTGTTAAAGTTGGCTGATAAATGATTAATTGCTAATGGGCTCCGTGAAAAGAAAAGTCAAGGAAGCAGCTTTTTCCCAGACCGGAGACAACAGA